TCTCCTTCCTAATTTGTATAATTCACCCATCTTGTTCCAAAACTGGCTCAAATTTTTATACTTAAAAAGCATTACTTGATGAATTCTATCTGCTCCTTGACTCTGAAACTTTTCCTTATTATATACACTGCTTGAAGACAAGTTGCTTAAAGAGTTGCCTTAGATGTGAGGTGACTTAAGATATTTAACAACTCAGAAGGGTCCTTTGCTTCCAGGACTCAACAGGAGCTAAGGAGAAATTGAAATTTTATTAGAAATATTTGTTGGCTTGAGATCATAAATCAAATGAAACTAAAAAGAGAAATACATTTCAAGAAAACCAATAGAGATGATCTGGAAAATAAAAGGCAGATTACAGGGAACAATAAAGAAGAATAAAATGTGGAATTTCTCAAGTGTTCATAAACTATTCTTGATTTGTATGTACTTTCTGACCTAAAAAACCTCAGATCCCTAACAAGGTAGTTGGTTTAATGAATTGGAAAGGTGAACACAGTGAATTGAATTCAAGTTTGACTTGTATCTTCACTAAGAAGAACTATCCTTTAATTAATTTTAACAACTCTCTCAAGGAAACAATTTTTTTCCCAAGAGGTGTAAAGCAATAAGAAAGCACATAACATAAATCCAAACAACTACAAAATAAAGTGAGAAGGAATTTTATATGTGAATGCACATTTAGTTATGTCTGATCTTTAAAGAATCATAGAAAAAAAATAAGAGCAGCATAACAAGAAACGTGGACAAAGGAAACCCCAATATTTAAGGGTATACTTAAGCATTAAAGGAAGTACATACCATTGGAACAAATAATTGAAGACCTATACTCTAGTCCATAATTAATCACTTACTAACCTTTATAATCTGAACCAGACCTTAAGTCATTTAAACTAGTTCACTTACTAGTGGAAAGGGGGCTATAACACTAAAACAGTAAATCAGAAAATCTTGAATACAAAGTTGTACACCATTATTAGTGGTTATGGTGAAGATTTACTGAATAATTATTTGAGATCTGGCCTCATGCTGGATACTGA